ATGACAATTCTCAATAAATATGCAAAAACATGACAGAAACTGTACAAAGCAACTTGATGAACATGATGTGATGTGCAGTAGTTTTATTAGCAAGTTGTGACCTTCAGAGCATCACAAAAGATAACACGTTAATATCTTTTTAACGTTTTTTGGTCAAAATATAGCATTTTCAAAACAATAAAGGGCAACATGGTGATCTCAATATATTATGTGTTGTTAATATGTTGCTTGCAGTTTATACCCCATAGATGTCAAATAATCCTCTCTTTGAAAATAAAAGTGTGGTTCAGTTACACATTCATTGCAGAAAATAGAAATAGTACATTGTTCAAAAGTTAGCAGGATGTTTAAAGGCAAAATTTTTACCATCTATCCTACCGGTCAAACGTTTCACAACACCACAGTTTTTTTCAGATTTTTACTGTTTACTGTGGACCAAAATGTATTCTAAATTTTTGATTCATGAAAGTGTCCACCTTTGGCAGATATAACAGCTGAACACACTTGTGACATTCTTTCTACAAGAGAAATCAAATATTCTTCAGAAAGTTCTTCCCAAGTCTTTTGCAGAAGTTCCCACAAATGTGTTGCACTTGTAGGTTGCTTGGCTTTCACTCTTCTGTCCAGTTCATCCCAAAACCAGCTGGATGGGGTTTAAGTCTGGAGCCTGTGCTGGGCACTCCATGTTGTCAATCTTACCATCTTGTTCTTTTTTTCCTGAGTTAGTTTTGGCAGATCTTTTATCTTTTTTTAACCTCTGACTGTTCAGTACTTACATTTGTACCATTTCAAGCTTTTCATTGGACTTGCACAACTTGAATTGCAATAAATAACTGGAAAAAACTTGGGTATTCTAAAACTTTTGATCGGTAGTGTAACATATGTGAAAAAATAAACTACTTCACTTTGAAATGTAAATGCACCAGTTAGAACTTTTTTCATACATTCCCAATTGCATCTTAACTGATCATCAAGATAAGTTTATAAGCATGTTTCACATCACTACTAATGACAACTTGCATGCAAACAGCACACCATTGTTATTTCAGTTGATGGACTAGTAGATGCAGATATCCCACAGCAGTCTCATTTTGCTCCAACAGCTGCTTTTCTAATGTATCTGTATTGGGGTAAAATGTAATATTATCGCATGAAAAATCAGGTACAGGCCCTTTTAAATTATTATTTTGAAGAAAAACATTTGGCTGCTCCCTTTTTCATTAGGGTTTGCCTCAGAGAACAAGTCATAAAGTGATATTGTATAGCAAAAGGCCCTTTTGTGTTACAACAAATGCCTCATACTGTGACTGGAGAAGGCTGCAGTGTTATGCTCAAGGATACAATGAAATTCCAACATTCGAGCACTAATTGACTGATTGTAGGACACACTCAATGTATAAATGATCCTAAATAAACTAAATTACAGTAGTTTGCACATTTCTAATCTTTTTTCCCACCTTTTTAGATTCCCCCATCAGCTCCATTGTATGATGAATACAGCTGATGGTTCCCCAGTGTGCGTCTGCTGCCTCTCACTCTGTGCTGTTATTTCGGCTGAACGTCCCTACAGCTTTTGGAGGAGCAGCGGGTGTGTGTGTGTTTGTATGTGTGCATGTGTGTGGGGCCTGACACATATTCGTCTGGTGGAAGTGGCACAGATGGCGGGGATCTAATCTGGCGAAGCTGTTATTAATCACGGTGTACACGAGCGAGGACGTGGCGAGAAGAGAGGGTCAGGACGAGGTGCAGATCCTCACAACTCTAAGAACACTATCGGATTATAAACTGTAGGGAGTACAGAAATGCTTTTAGTCCTGCTGACTTTTTTGGAATCTCAAGTATTATCCGTCTTAAGTTTGCCTTAGGTTGGAACTCGAACAATTTAAGATGTTCAGGTAGGATTGGGCCACAGTAGCTCAGTTGGTTGAGGGTTTGTCCACTCATCCGAGGTTAGCAGTTGAAATCCCGCTCTTGACATAAATGTCATTGGTAGAGCTGTCAGGTCCACTAATCTACAGATTGGAGGTACGATTCCATCTTCCACAGATGAATGCTGTTGTTATGTCCTTTGGCAAGACACTTAACCCCCCTAGCCCCCACACACTGGTGTAGGAATGTGTGTGTGGTTCCGCTTAGTAGAGAGTAGACCCACTTGCACCGCTTGTTGGTTGAAGTGTCTTGCCCAAGGAACATACTTTGTGTAGTAAGATGAATTCTCACAATGTTTGGAAGTATTTGTCTAATATTCTGCCTTTTCCTGATGACTTTCAGTGAGAGAAACTTTATTCAGAGTGCTACACAAATCAGTCTGGCTTCTGTCATGTTACCAACCTTGTAGCTAATTTGCACATTTATTAAATTAACCTCATAATGCACTGAAAGGTCCTTTCCTTTAAAATTCCTTTTCTAAATAGTTTTTAAGTCCAGCCAATTACTGTAGTTTAGTTTGGCTCGAGACTCCAAAATGTAACAGTGAATTCTCCAACGCAGCAGTTGAAATAAGTAGACAAATGCTCATGTACAAGTTAGAGCAGACTTTTATTCTTGGCTCTTGTTCAGGTCGCAGAGGATGCAGTGGTAGTTATGTCTGATTTATGATTTTGATTTGCTTCAGTGTGCAGCAGCTGCTTTTCACCCTCTGATAACAGCCCTTCATTTGTCTCGACATCATAACTCACATTACACCGCACACTCCGCACAAAGATTAGTCGTAAAATGAAAAGTTTCCAAGTTGTGGCCATGCATCATGTGAACTGCACATTTATTCTCACTATTACCTTTGTTTTGTATTCACAGCAGTTAAGGTGATACATAGTGTGTGTCAGAGCTGTGCCCAGATTAAAAAGACTGACAGATGGAGACCAATTTTATGCTCATTTTCTGCATTAAAATTTCAACCTGTTTAATAAGTCATGGAATACTATAGTACATAAGCGATGAACAGGCACTCTGTGCACTTTTAACATAACTTCATGTCAGAGAAGTTTTTATTTGGCAGAGCTGATCATAATCTTTGTTTATGTGCAAAGACAGGTCACATTTTGTTCAGAGAACATTTCATAAATAATTTGTGATTTGTGTGAGTGAAATATGTTTTGACATAAAACTGTTTCTCAACTTTTCTAACTTTTAATAGTCTTGAAGTTGGTTTAGTCTTTTTTGAACACTGTTTACTGTTCTAATTTATATTCTGACATGCAGTAAATGGCTTGGCAACTATTAGAACAGAAGGAATTATAAATGAAATAACTTTCTAAAACTACTTCTAGATTGAAATGGTTGCTATAAATAATTTTTATACTTCACATACTGGCATATAAATGTGACAAAAACTCAAAATGTAGACTGCAGTCATCTGAATATTGACCAGCAATAGAAATGTTAACCACTCTGCCACATCCCCGAAGTAAAAAGACACAAATAGAGAAGCAATATTTCTCAATATAATACATCTTATGCAACAATAACAATCATCTTTATTTTTATAGCACCTATACTTTGACATTACCATTTTCTAAGAATAGCTATAGTGAAATTATGTTTTTTGTCTTGACTCAAGACAAAAAAGGAAAAAAAAAAGCTTTGAACCACTCTATGCAAAATGCACATGTGATTTATAAGAGCATTCAATAGCGGCAAGAAATCCATTCCCAGTCTTAAGATGGTCATTTTCAGATCAGAGAGGTATGCTAGGCTCACACGCTTGTCGACTGATTTTTAAATGTTGCCTTTAATATTTAAACAGATGAATCTCTGCAAAAGGAATGCGCCGCCACAGCAAAGTCTGGAGGGGTATAGGCCACGAAGAGATGAGAAGAAAAACTGTGAAGAAAACTGTTGAAATGACACTTAATGACGGCTGGATCTTCTCTAAATATAGCCTTGGTTCACAGAGAATTAATAGGAGAATAACACTTTGGTGGCCACGATATGAAAGATTCGCCACCCACCTTTTCTTTTAAATAAATTACACCTCTTTACTTCCTGCACCTTAATTATTCATGCAATCTCTTCTTGACCTTGTATCTCATAGGGCCTCCCAATTTGTGCATACAGACTGCTTTTGTGACAACTACCTACTGGCATGCTTTTATAGTTTAATTTTCTTTATTTTCAGTCCTTTTTAATCCGTTACTTTGATTAGAGATGCATTGTGTAACTATTCTGGCGGAGAATCTTTCAAAAGGTTTTCGCCAAATTACAAATTACAGGTCAGATCTGTGGAGAGGTGAGTCGCTCACAGTGAGAATGCCTGTTTCTAGGTATTTTTGAGCTATAAAACCACCTGTAATTTAATAAATGCAAGTTAGAGGTGTTTAATGTCATATTGTGGAGCATTCCAGGCAGAGCAGTGACATGTCCACAGAAACAAGCCCCAACTAAAAAGTTACACAATGCACCTTTAAACGTGTCATATGAAATGCATTAAGTGAGGAGTGAACCAACTCTCTTATAATGGCCACATCCATTATTACCTCTCATCCAAGCTAAACAGATAGGAGCCTTGAAGTGCTCTGAATCTTATTACCAGGCTATAGCAGAAATGAACTACTTAAACACATGGATTAAGGCTGCAATTTCACATGATAAATTCTGTCATGAATGATTACTTCAATACACTCACAACACTAGAGTTGATACTGCAATTTTCCAAGAGGGACTATAATGGACTTGTGGTATAAGGCTCTCCATAAAAGACCCAGGTAATTTGCAGCCTGCAGCTTGGATACGGTTTGGTGAACATGCATGTGCCGAGGCAGGTGAAACATGGCAGCGGTGAGCCACAAATCCAGCATGCCCCCAGGGTTCCTCTTCAAATGAACTATGCACCGTCTCCTCACCCACTTCAGGAAATTGATAATTCTTCAGCAGCACAAGCATAAGTTGTTGAGTTTGCTTTTCTAACACACAGATGCCATATTTCACCTTCATCGTCCTAGCTTGGCCCCCACACATGACCGGTTTTGTAACATTGTGTGTGTTTTTTTTTATCTTCATAGCTACACACTCCGAGTGGTGGGCAGTGGCATCAAAGCTCAGAGCTCCAACCCAGAGGTGAAAGTGAAAGAAGCTGACCCCGTTATAAACCAGATTATCGACAAACTCAAGCACATCAATCAGGTGAGCCTCACTGGACACTGGGCCAAATCCTACCAGCTATAAGACTTCTGTAACAACCTTATGTTATTTTCTATATAGAGTACTGAGGAAGTTGTGGATGAAAGCTCTAATCTATCTGAAACTGTATGTTCTGTAAGGTTACACAGCCCCCCCCTTTTTCTTTCAGTAAATCCTGTGTTACTCATGGATACATTGGCGACCCTATACTTCTACTACTGATCTACTTTCTTATAAGGAGAAATCAAATGGTTTTATGGTTAATTAATATATTATTTGAACAGCAGTCATTATAAAATACTTAATACAGCACAATTAAGATGCCATCCCTTAAAAAATATGCTGAGACTGAGAATCTTTAGAGACCCCCACTTTGGGAATAACAGTAAGAATGTAAGCAGTAAGTGGTCCCTGTGTGTTCAATTGCACACACAACACAGCAAAATTGGGATTTAACTTGGACTAAACCATGAAATAAACCTGGACTAGATCCAATGAAGTCCACATAAGTATACCTCCCATGTATACTCAGGTACCCCGCCAACAAGCCTTACACCAAAACAAATGTCGGGATTGTCTACAGAATTATCTATAGCAGGATTACAAAACTAATTTTATTTATCTTATTAATTTTAAATGAGTACAATATTATCAAGAAGACAAAGACATCCAGGTGTCACCAGAGTATACATCTTGCATTAGCCCCAAGCTCATATAAATGCAACCAGAAGGGCATCTGACTTAAAAAAAAAAAAAAAATCTGAAATCTGTATGCAAATCCCTGTATGCTCTAGGCAGGTGATTTGCGGTTCCTTCGCTAAAAGGAAAAAGAAATGAGATTAGTATAATAAGAATGGCTTGCAGTTGTGGTGAATGCAGTTTTATACTTCAAGCTTCCAAGCACGAAAAAGGCAGGTTTTCCTCGCAGGTTTGTCTGGCTTTTGTTGTGAGGAGTGGCTCATGGGTTTTGTAAGCCTTTTCTACGTGAAGCGATTTGAGATTTCTTTTGTTGGAAATTGGCAGTAAGTATAAAACAAGACACTTGACATTATGGTTCTAACTCAGTAAGAGTTAAAACAGCCCACAGGATCCTCCTTAAGACCCGAACTGAATATGGAACAACAGGTGTGTTCATGAGGCCTGGGAGAGATTAAATACGGAAATACACCTGAATAAATAATTGGGAATGGAATCTGAATAAATTATGCCTTACTTACATAGCATATTTAAACCTGTGTTTGTGAAGTAAATAGTAAATTGTAACTGTAAAGCATTTTCAACAACCTATAGCAAACAATACAAGATATCTGCAGTAAGGGTATGTTCACATTTGCACATACAGTAAACCACATCAAAACTGTGACTAAGCAGGAGCTAAATCCAGACCTAAACCTGGACTGGGACTCAAACCAGGACCAAATGATTTCTAACAAATGAGTGTGAATGCACCCCAAGACATTACATTGTACATACAAGTGTTCACCACCCAGTTATCTTTGCTTGTAATATTCTACAGTATGGATTTAGATGCATTACTCAATTACATGTCTCTTTATAGCTCAAAAAAAACATTCTGTGAGTGAAGTCGCCTCTCACAGATCTGACATGTAACTTGGCCTGGTGTTATCACCCATTTGTCTCCAAGGAAATAAGTCATTTAATGCCTTACTGTGGTACATTCCAGGCAAACAAAATTTGTTAGTGCAGCTTAAAGGTCCTTTATTTTGCACAATTGACTCATGTGAACTTAAAGCTGTTACCTGTTACCTTTTAGCTTTAAGCTGCTGTTACCTCCTCAAAAACATACCTGGAGTTGTTTTTTGTTTCATTCACACATGTTTGAGTAATCCATTATTATTAGTTTAGCTACATCTCCAAAGCTCAAAATGCTCTGTTCTGCCTTGTTTGCTTGCTTGGCAACAGTAGCTCATTTGGTAAGACCGTTTGTCCACTGATCCGAAGTTTTGCAGTTCGAAACCCACTCTCAAAATGAACATCATTGGTTAAGTGGTTTGATCCACTGATCCACCGCTTGGCTGGTATGATTCCAGCTTCCACTGATGTGGTTGTGTCCTTGTGCAAGACACTTAACCCACCTCACCCCTAGTGTCTGTGTACACTGGTGTATGAATATGTGTGTGTGAGAGGGTGCGTGATTCCTTGTTGTTGAAGGTGGAAAAGTACTGTATAAACATATGCCCATTTACCATCTACCATTTGTTTTCAAGTTATCAGCTATCATTTACCTTTTGTTTATTAGAGACTGGAAATTTCAAGGCTGAACTTATCCAAATGATTCTAATGAAGGTGTATGATGTTTAAAAACACAGTGGAGCACTTAATTGTATTATCAATTTACATCACAAGGTGGAACAGCACATTTTCTGTTTGAGAGAAAACTACCGTAAATAAATACGCAGGGTTTGTGTGTTAAATTTGTGTGAATTAAAACAAAACACAACTCCAAGTGTGTTTTTGATGAGGAAATAACATTATAACATACTTGTAGATCAGAAAATAGTGTAATATTGGCTCTTGAACTAAACAGTTTAAGTATTCAGGATTTTTGTTGCTCTGTTTACTGAAAATAGAGACTCATATTTGACATATTGGAAATAAGGGACCTGTGAAGAAGACAGTAAGGCAGGGATCCTAAATAAATGTTGGTTTTATGCTGTTTATTGAGTTGAATGGAGAAAACAGTTTGGATAAATCAAAGCATTTAAAACATTTTTTCCTAAAGTGCAAATTAATTCATCTCATATTTCAAATTATGGGTAAGTGGCTGCTGATAGAAAACAAGTCTTGAATCTAGAAAGTAGCTGACGCCTTTTGAAGAACAAAAAATCAATCCTTACACATTTATAAAGCCATTTGTCTAGGTTTATGTGGCTTCATATTTACAATAGTATTTTTCTACTCTTCATCAAAATCAATGTGGCCCCTCTCTTTGGCAGCATCCTCTTTGCAGGTTTGGCTCCTCTCAGCGCTGTTTATCTCTGTGTGATTATATTAGAGCAGGTTATTTCAATGGTTTCCTCTGCTTCACTGTGGGAGAGGGGCAGCCTATAGAGGGCGCTGTGGTATGTGAACCCCCAAAGTCATGGAGTTGATTTGTTGATTTGCTGTTCATTTATTTTCTTTTGTTATTTTCTGATCTATGTTACAATGTATAACTAAAATCATTTGGATAGTTTCAGCCCTGAGACTGCCAATCGGAATTAAAGTAAAAGTAAAAGGTAGCTGTTAAAATGAAAACTACCACTACATGACATCACAATGTGGAACACAGAACTTTGAGCTTTGAAGATGTAGATGCATAAAAACGACTCATAGGTGAATGAAACAAAACACAGCTCCAGGTTTGTTTTTTGATGAGGTGGCATCATTATAACATGGTTTAAAACTCATTGGAATCCACTTTGGGTAATATAGGACCTGTAATGGTTGTCAGCCCATGTGTGATTGTGCACTAAATAACTAAGTTCTCGCCCCCAAAACCTGCAAAACCTGAAAAGATGTTTAGAACAGAAAGCACTGTAAAATCATTATCTAATTGTGATTCAACCTTGTCCTTATCCTCCAATCTGGAGAGTTTTAATAATTCAATTCAAGACGTTTGTTACTCAAACACAGTCACATGCCTTTCCCTGTTTGACTTACCTGACCCAGAACCACACGCTTTGACAAAACTTGACAAAGACGAGTGGATCTGGAGCTGTATCCCAATCAGAAATGCATGCTTCATTTGTGTCAGAAACAAACATAATGGTTTACACGTAAAAAAAAGGACTAAGCAAGTGTGACGTCACCCATAGCATTCAATGTTAGCGGTTACAGGGGAGAATTTGGAGCCAGGCTCTATATTATTAATTTTGATTTTGATTTTTTTTAACGGACAAAATAGCGGAAAAAAATTCCAAGATCATGTAGAGCAGGTGAATACGAAAATTTTAAGACCAAAATGGCAAAGCTCACAGCAGCAGTTACAGAGAGAGAGGTGACAATATTCCAGTGTAAGTCAAGAGGAGCCAGGGTCAGTAGGTGCTCGCATGTGAACTTCCTTTTTGGAACGCAACGGCTAGTACGTTAGCTATGTCCATTTATATACACAGTCTATGGTTTGGATGGAGGTTTTTCACCCTCGGTTGTCTGGTTCCAGTTCCTTTCTGGATTCAAACTGAATGTAGAAGGGACTGGCTGGTCAGACAAGTTATGGACGCCATTTTGACAATTTAATTTTAATTTAATTTAGAGTTTTTTGTCTTGAATTGTCAGTGGTCAGTAGCTATCCAATGTAAAATAATTGTGACCAAATGAACTATAATGTAATCTAGGCTTTTGAAAAATAGAAAATGAAAATGAAAACCAAACAGATCTTCACTTTGTTCAACTCCAAGTCTATGATAGAAAGTTGGGCCCATAGACTTTATATATAAATGGACATAGCTAACCTGGTGCATGCCGAATAGGAAGTGAGCATGGGGGTGTTTCCTCCACTGATTGTTTCTAATTGACTTTACATAAAAAAAAAGGATCCTGGTGTTTTTATTTTGCTATTTTGTCCATAAATAAATGTCTATTCCTGATATGGAACTCGACTCGAAATTCACCCCTATAACTGCTAGTCTTCATTTGACGATATTGGTGACGTCACACTCACTTTTCTATACAGTGTATGCTTAGGACATATTTTTGACAGTTTATGTAGACATGATAAAATTAGAGGATATCGCATTTGCAGCGCTGTCTCGCCTGCAGTTCAGAAATAGTCTTGTAGCAGCCTGTAGGGGGCACTGTGGAGTGACACCTCCCGCGGTGCGCTCCTTGTGTGCCGTTTGGGCCTCAGGTTTTATTCTGGGAGACTGAAGGCTCAAGGCCGGGCCAAGTCTGTTGACCTGGTGCTGGCTCTCCCACCCATCTAATTCACACCATCTGCAGCGTGTCATGGCACATAAATCTATATCATAACCCCCAGAGAGAGAGGGAGAAAGAGAGAGTGA